CCAAAGGAAAAAAAAAGAAAGGGGGCCGATACCTTCTTTTTGGGTTCCTTTTAAACCAAATTTTTTTTTTTTTTTTTTTTTTTTTTTTTGTTTGTTCTTGTCACAAATTTCTAACTGGACTTAGGTCTGACTAACATGATTTTTGTCTTCTTTTTTTTTTAAACCATTCCATTTTAGTCTTGGCTACATGTTTAGTTGTTGCCAAGCTGGAAGTTGAAAATTGTGACTCCAACCAAATATTTGGAACTTTGTTAAGCATCTAAATCTGCTTTAAACTTCCTCTCAGTTTTATTACTCAACTGTGTTTCTTGGTCTTCATGTTGCTCTGAAAAGTATACCACGATGTAAGAGCTTTACATCAGTCGACATCAAAAGTGATTGATTTGTTTTAGATATCTGAAATACTGCCAAACTGGTGACACGGCCTTTCCTGTTTTATCCACAGTTTTCACTCAAGGCCATTGTTTTATATTGTTTAAAGAGTATTAAGTTACTCAACAGGTTGTTGCTAGGTAACCAAAGAGTGAGTGTGTTAGTTGATGCTTAGCTGTGAGAGGTTGAGCGCCTAAAGCCTTCCCTCTGTCTAAATCCCCCAGAATGCTGTGTGGTTCTGGATCCGAGTTGAGTGAAACTATTGACTATCAGACCTTCTATCTATTGTTACTGATGACGTGTCTATTGCAACATATATTGTTATTGATCTATTGTCCTGCCTCATACCAACGTAACCTGGACTGAACTCAAACACACACCGCCCTTGTTGTATTTTTTGTTTTTGGAAGAAAATCTGGACACCACGTAATAATTTGAGTTGCATTCATGACTGCGTGCAGCTGCGTGTGGATCTACAGCCTAAGATCCCAATAAAAACACACTGAAGGTTGCGGTCGTAACGTGACAAAATGTGAAAACGTTCAACTGTAGCGAGGCGCCGCACATCAACACACTCACTCGCCTCATTCCTCTTAACATGTATAATTTCAAAGCCACAATGTTCACTTCCTTTCTTATGGTATCTGCTGTTTCTTCAGAGTGGGGCAATAATTCTAACTTGGTTGATACCAGCACCCCCCCGCCATCCCACCCCCTTGGTTGTTCTAACCACAGAGCCGAGCGAGCCTACACCAAAGGACGTCAGCGCCAGCAGCCGTCGTCCCTTTTCTCTCTTTGTCTCACTGCGAACTTCCCTGAAAACACCAGGTTCCTCAGACTATTTGCGAACCAAACTTCGTCTTGCGCCATTTCCCACAACGACGCCGTTTCACATTTGAACCCGACCGCAGTTGAGAGTTTTCCCTGCACATGAATAAAGACTCGTTTGAGTGCGTACACAAACACAAACACACACACACACACACACACATACACAAAGCCCGTGGATCTAAGCATGTGCATCTTGTATGAGGGCACAGAACCTCGTCTGTACCTAAATGAAACGCCGTGTCAATAATTTACCATCTTAGCTCTGTTTTCAGTCTTACGTATGCCTCCTTCAATAAATAACGAAAACAGACAACATTGAGACATGGGAACAACACAGGAAACATCTACAGAATGAGCCTCAGAACATTTCTCAGACTTTTTAAACTTCAGTAACCTTTTCTCCGCCGTGTGCACGGTCCTCACTGATCGCAATCCTTTCAGGTATTACAGTTTGCCTCGAATATTTCACTGGAGAAATTATCCGCATGCTGCCCTAAGCCCCAAAGAGCTTCCCCAGTCTAAACACAATTGCTTTGGAGGGGTTTTTTTTCTGTTCTTTTATTCACATGTCCTACATTTATTGTGTGTCAAATAATTTAGTTAAACTGCCCAAGGCTTTGACTTTTTCAAGTTGCTCTTAATATCGTTTCGTATCGACTAATGATATAGGTCAGGACTCATTTTGTCATGGCAGTATTTCTGTCAGGATACATGTTGGTATGTTTTCTACAGGGAAAATCTGTACATGTTAATAACTAGTAGCATCTGTCCAGTTTCCCTGAGCATATAGCTTCAGGCTAAAGCTAGGTTCATCACTGACTCATTCATCTAGGCCTCAGGGTTCGTGCGCATCAATCCTGCACATTCGAAACTTTTGTAATTCGCCGCAGACCGAACTCGCGCCACCTTCCACTCAAAATGGACGATTTATAAGGTGCTTCACCCATACCGGCATCGATATGATCCCTCTGTAGCTGTGTTTTCCTTAACAAAAGTTTGCAAAATGTTTTCCACATTCTGCTAATGTCGAACAAAAAAACCCACAATTTTCTAATTGAGCTTTTTCCATGAAATAAGAAATATAATCAAAATCACAGGTGAATAAGTCTGCTCATTAAAAATCATGGCTGTAAATAGTTACAAATCGGGATTTTATTGAGGTATTGGTGTTAGAAGCCCCCTCTACTTGGAAGTGGTTGTATATATGTGGTGTTTTTGGGAAATTGTAATTGGTTACTTTACAGAAGAGCTGTGGATTCAACACTTTGGAATGACACTGAACTATTGATGAACTGTTCAATGCTGAGAGTTTTGGTGGAGGCAGCTGGACACGGTCCAAGGAGTCCAGTGGCTACAAAGAATGACCTTGATGCTGCATACAAAGTGTTTCCATTGCACTTTTACAAAACACAAATTTCAATACGACTGAAAATATCACCATACAGCAAAAATGTTTTATAAAAAAAATCTGAGTTTTTGGAAAATTGCCATGTATATTTTCATTATTCCATTTTGTGCAACTTTATGATCAATAGAAGCATGTTCATTTTCTTGAAAATATCCCAGGACAATTTCCAAATCATCCATTTTGAGAGAACCTTTAAACAGAAAAGTAGGATTTGGGAAAACACAAGAAACCTTAATAACAAACACTTTAATTTTGTACCCTAAAAATATTAAATTAAGCATGAAAACAAGAGCAAAGAAAATTATATATATTCTAATAGTATTTCACTCTTTGTCTTTTTAAGATTACTGGTGGTGTGTTGGTATTGTTAATACTGTCTTCCAATAACACATCATTTAGTCACATTTTCAAACTTCCTGTCAACTTTCAACCTTTTTCAACATGAAAACACAGAGAGCTCACCACCAGGCTTAGCTAGTTCCTTCATGACAAACTACAAACTGTTTAGCTCAGGCAGTTGTGGTGTGAACGTGCAACGCGTGCCTTAAGGAAAAATACAATCTTGCGCTGGCCGTTTATGCAAGACGTAAATAAAATTTCTGCTAGGATCAGAATCCTGCTTGACCAGAACGGTGGTGATGTGAGATTGTCGCTCAGTTCTCAGTCAAACACGCCAACATTGTTAAGAAACTCCAACTACCGCCCTGCATTTGGTTTTCTCCACAAACAAGTCAAGTAGTGATTGATTCCCAAGTCTGTCTGAACTCAGATGACCTCTAGGAGACGTACGCTGTCTTTCAGTATAATATAGGATTTCCGATCCACAGACAGTTTTTTTCTCAACCACCTTCGTGAATATTCCTGTGTAGTAGGAATAAATATGAATGTTTAGGAGCGATCTGGGAGCTTCCTGGCTGTTTTGTGCGAGTCGCTGTGAGTTCTCTTCGAGTTCTTGTCAAAGTGTGAATCTGAGCCCGAGACTTACTTGCGTGCCTCGTGGCTTGTAGGGCGAGCTGCTCTCCAAGTCTTCCAGGATGCTGGTGAGAGAGTCGATCTCTGCATCCAGGCTGGAGCGCCTCTCCTCCAGAGTCTTCTCAGGTCGTTTCATCTGAGAGAAAACACAACACACCCGGCTTTAGAGAACGACTGACACACTGCAACCCAAATGTTGGACTTTTACACTGACACAAACGGAGTATGAGCGTATGAACCGATGATGTGACGTCCTCTGCGTGCTGTGCTTAAATACCCTTAGTTTTTAGTGGCGAGAGCAGCTGAAACACCAGTCATTACACTTTATGACGTTTGACAAAGTGCAAAGTTATGCAGCAGGATAAGTTTTTCCACTCAGTTTTAACCAAAGACAATAACTGAAATTGTGCTAAAAATTATGTTACAAGCTTAAATATCAATGAGTCATATTAAAACAAAGAGCAGGCATGCTAGCATTAGCCTGGCTGGTGGCTAGCACTTAAGCTTGCCACTCTGTATGAGAAGGAGAGTAGATAGATTGTGTTGGAGTAATGTGTAGCCCATCCTGAAGAACCTGCAGTTGGGACAAAGTGTCTGTCAGGTGTTGGTTCAATTGGGGAATAAAGTTGCAACATTTGTTACATTTTCAGTTGATGCGGTTCTCTTTCACACTACTCTGTTAAACAATACAAACTGTTTCAAAAACCTCCTCACCTGTGGTGGCACTGCACCGAGAACTACTGAAGGAAACATGAACACAACTTCCTTATTCAGAAAATGTAAACAAAAATGGAGTGGTGTCAGGTTTTAGCCATTGTAAGCTTTTCTATCTTTGGTAAAAGACCAGGAGCCATTTTTCCCGCTAGCGTTAGACTCTTGTGTTTGTTTTGGTTGTATTTACCAAGAATGCCCTGCACTACAGCCATTTCCTGCTTTTGGAGCGGTGTCAGGTCTGCTTGCGTTCATTTATGCATTCAAACCGCACTAGAGTTCACTTCAACCGAACTGAGACTTGGGTCTGTAGGCCGACCAGAGATCTCTTTTTCAGGGAGAGTTTGATTGCTCCTTCACACCTCCCCAAATGAGCTGGACTTTCTAGAGAAACTAGAAATGCATATCAAGGACAACCTTGAGAAGAATGCATCTCTGGCCAGAGTTCTCCTACGTGGCTAGCCTTGACTAATGTTGGCTAGCCAACATTACTCCTATTTCTATCGGATAAACATTTCCCGACCTCCAGTTCTTCTGGACGGGTCCTCTATTAAAAATAAAGATGATGCCGTTTGTCTGGAAATACCTCCATCCAAGTATGGCTCTTTTTAGGCTTTTTGCTGGTTTCAAACTATGCTGCAGGCTGCAGGAGGTAACATGTCTGTCTGAAAAAAAGCTGAGTGCGTCCTGAATGCCGGGACACATGGCATGTATAATAACTCACTAAGCTTTACAAAGAAAAGAATGCTGGGAGGGGGAATCTATATTCAATGTGAAAGGCACGTTTACCGTGTTACTTCCATACTTTTGTTCTTTCACCAGCAAGTTACATTTTTAAAATGTGCTATTGGCCCTTGAGCTGACACCCGCTTAACATTAGATCTCATTACTAGAGAATGAAATGGATTTTTATTTTAAAACAACTAAACTTGATGTAAAAATCAGTGCTTTGAATATTTAAATAAGATACACTCCGACTGTTTGTGTCCCGATACTGACATTAAAGAGGCATCCATCAACTGGCCAGAGATTGGGATTAGCCTTTTTTCTGTTGTCCGGCTACAATTGATAAGTCAAGGACTAAAAGACAAACATATATATATATATATATATATATATATATATATATATGGTGGAAGGTTTTAGCTTTGATGCACTTAATGAATAAATCATTAAGTGCATCAAAGCTAAAACCTTCCACCATTTTCAGTCCATACATCGTTTGCAACAATTCACAACAGCTACCTATTAGTCGTCTTTGTCGACACATAATTGCTGTAACCATAGCAACACATGGAGGAATATTTTAGAAATTAAGTGTTAAAAGCAGCTATTAAAATAGTCAATGGTTTTAAAGAAAGTCTTAAGTCTTAAATTCAGACTTCAGACCATCCCAGATCCAGAGGAGACACAGAGTTATGATTAGGTTGCTGAATATTTAATGTGCAAACAGGGCTGAAACAATTAATTGGATTTATTGTGATTTATCCATTATTGAAATAATTGTCTAATTTAGTAATCGATTAACTGGAGTTAACTGGAGCATGCAGACTCTGAAACAGGCCATTTGCTGAAAGAACAACACAGTCAGAGCAATAATTAGGCCAAACCTATACAAAAAAGCAAATACATTGCTTTCCAGTTATTAATCTGTTAAATGACAAAATAGTGAACAGGTCAGCTCTACACTGTAATGATGTTAAGACAAGCAGAAGGAGCTTAACTTTTCACATGTTGATGTTTGAAGCAATATGTTTAGCTGCAGATTCAACCTTTACTACAAATGATAAAGTGATCACTAAAAGAATGCTGTCATCGCATTTCAGGCAATAAAATGTTTATTTTCTTATTTAGAAAATAATTGAATTTTTTCTTTATTTGTATTTTAATGCATTTTTAATGTCTTAATCTGGAAATAACTTTTAAATAATACCTATTTGATGCCACCTCTGTTTTTTTTTTTTTTTTTTTTTTTAGATTTTTTTGTCCTATTTTTTGCTTTCTTTTCCCTTGGGGGG